GCAGGTGCGAGGGCGTGAGCGCCAGCGTCCGCCCCGACGCCGTGCGCACTCGCAGCAGCGTGCGCGGCGCCGGGTCCCGGTCCAGGAAGAGCAGCACGGGGCTGAAGGCCAGGCGGCCCGTGGCCGGGTCCAGCGCCAGCACCTCGTCGCCCACCCGCAGCTCCGCCAGCGCGCGCCGCCCGCCCGGCGTCTGCACCGTTGACTCCGCCGCGAAGCAGCCTCCGGACTTCGCCGCCTGCGACGACTCTGCAACACAAACATTACACTAATATTAGCACACACATTAACATTAATATTAGCGAGGAAGATGAGGAGGAGGGGGAGAAGAAGAAGAAGAAGAAGAAGAAGAAGAAGAAGAAGAAGAAGAAGAAGAAGAAGAAGAAGATTCACTTTATGAATCATGTAGTACACATTGAACATTCTTTTTTCTCTAATACAAAGCCCTACTGATGTGGTACCTCGACATGTACTTGCTAAACACAATGACAAAAAACTGTACCAATCCTGGATAATCTAGGAATGAACGTCTTTAATCCAGATTGTACGTCGGTAATAAACATTTACTTACATGGTTTCGAGAGAATCATAAACCATGAACCTGTGTTACTGATTTCGAAAACGTCTTGCATAAGACCTATTCAACTACGACCTTTCTTTACAAATCCACAAAATGAATAAAATTTCTTACATTATATTTTCTTTAACTTTTAATGGATAATTTGTTGTAGCGCGATAGAGAAATAATATTGTTTAAACTATGATTGCCAGTGACAAGATAAAACAATCATTCCTTTATAACAAAAAAGTATTGATATAAAAATGTTAAAAGTACCATACACATAGTTATTTGTGTTAAATGTAACATGTTTATTTCAGTTTTTTCAGGAGATAAAATTGACTCGCCGGTCGTACTTGAAGTTAATTAACAATGAATCAGTAATATGAATAAGATTTAAATAACAAATATAAATTACAACTCTTAGTGAAGAAAATATTTTGTTGTCAATATAGAACTTTATTTTGAAAATACGTGAATGATGCTTGAGGTTACCATGGATACTGATCGGTCGGTTACTGCATTGGTTTTCGAAATGAACGCGCGTGTATTGCAGCGCCGCAGCGGCAAAGATAAGAACCAACTGTGCCAGTCATTCGTGCCTATATGTGCTGCTCCTCGCGGCGAAAGTGAAAACCAGCTCAACCTACACAGCATCCTTGGGGTCTCTGGAGAGAACTCCGCAAATAGCAATTACTGAGGCATTAGGCGTCAGGTAGCGAATCCCGCTGCGCGGGCTAACGGCTCATCATCGAGTGTCGGCTGAGCCTCAGCCGTCGCTGACTTACAAAGCCACAACGGGTCCCTGTGTTGGTCGCCGCCAGTCCACTTACACTAACGCGCTCATCATTGACTCGGAAGGGGTAGAAGCTTAAATTCCACGGGCGAGCGGCCGCCCGTTGCTTCGAGTTCACTCACACGGCGCCGAACGGGACTTGGGCCCGATCCGAGGAAGAGCGGCCCAGACACGCATTCTCCGCGGCCTCCACCCCCGCTCTTCCCTGCGCCCAACGCCCTTCCTCCGGTACCCGCCCTTCCGACTCATGCGACCACGGCTGGCAAAGGCGTTAATCCTCGCACCGGGACAATGCGTCTCCGGGCTACAAAGGAGGCCATCACGACCGTTCATTACCCTTTTGTATGTGGGAGAAATACTCAGCGCTTCAATATGGCGCGCGCCCAACGACGAGGTGGAAAGTAAAAGGACGACGGACGGATGTGCTAACACATTAACTTCGAGGAGTACTTAGGTGGTAATAATGGCCCGTGCCGGTTTACAACTGGACGAATGACGTGGTTACATGAAATGGGCGCGTCGACGCATCAGCACGTTTTCCAGAGTGTCTATTAGCGTAACAAATTGGCGGCGGTGTGCGGTGCGTAAAAATGCTCCCAGCGTGTGCAACCTGAATGGCATCTCTGAAGATTAACCGAGGAGGAGGTCAGGAGAGAGTCCGGTTCGCACGACAACGGTGCTCTATCCGAATGATTTATAGCCCATTTACCGGGACTGAGCAAATCAACCTGGAGAGCAGAAAATGGAGTCCAAGATACAGAGGGTTGTTCTTCAACTGGAATAATCTTTCCTCCGAACTGTAAATGCTGTCTTTTGGAGCAGGTTTACTACCCAGTTTAGGTGAACTCTGTTAAATGAAAGAAAAAGGTTGGGAATGATTCTGTACTTTCATAACACGAACAATACACTTTTTTTAAAGGAAGAAATAAGCTGCAGTATTTTTGTGAAAATGCATTTAGCTCCCAATAACACATTAATTTTGTGGTATGAAGATATTAATGTAATATAAGTACATATATGATTTCAATAACAAATGCTTTCATAGTTTTTTCAGAAAAGAGAAAAGAAAGGAAATAAAAACTGTATTCTATAGAAAATATAAATTTTGGAATTCTATGAATTCTGTGACATCATAACCATAGACAATAGAGAATTTAGAAAGTTAAGTCAATTTTCTAATTATATAACTTCATTCAACTTAACTTTACTAATACTGCAATAAAAATGTCATATTTCAAAGCCTAGTGGTTATTCAATGTACAAAAAAACGGAAATGTCTCTGGTAAAATTTCATATTGAGCAGCACTGCAAAATTTGTGAACAATATTCTTGAATAAGACGAAAAATTTCAAAATCAGTGTTTTCAATCATTGACATTTTCGAAGAAAGGAAGAAGAAACGCTCAAGTCACAACTCTACAACATTAGGTAGGTAAGATCGACAGAATATGAATCAATTGAGGCAGTCAGTGAAATAGGGAGCTAAAACAGAAAATTCAAAATATTGATTTATGAAAGTATTCGATTGCCAACACACTGAATATGCCAATAAATCAATGTTTTTAATTTTGTGGGTTAGCTCCCTATTTTACTGGATGCCTCAATTATTCTACACGCATTGGGCTTGTTGGTAAATCAAATGTTTTATTTTTGATTGCACAGAAATAGTTGTTTCAAACGTAGGCATAAGATGGGAGCAATTCAAAATGAAAATAAATTAAAGACTGACTTAAATGAAAAAGAAAGTGGAGGCTATGTGTGAGAATACCTTGATAGTAGAAAATGTTTTTAAAATGGTATTAATTGTGTGAAAAGAGAGAGGGGAAGGAGCTACAAAAGATATAAATTGCGAGATGATGAATATTGATATCAGAAAAATTGTTTACGTTTGTATAATATTATTCTCTGTATCCTGTAATTCAGTGTTATTTATAAATGATGATGTAATGGAAACTTGATTACAATATTTTTAATAAACTGATGTTTGCTGATGCAAGAAAACCTATTAATTATTATTTTAGAGATGGAATATAAAACTAATAGTTTTATATTGAACAAGCCCTTATCCCTAACGAATTTAAAAACAATAGAGTACATTCGCACTTTTCGTGTGTTTTTCGAATATTTTTTTTCAACACACCACAAAATAATTTCCTTCTGCTATGAACAGTATGAATGAAACTAATTTGCTGCACTATTATTTTTCATTCAACAAACGGCAGGCCTAGACAATCATTCTGGAAGCAGGGAACACAAATATTTAATAACATTATTTTGTGCGTGTAACAACATTATTTTTTATTATTATTCGAAAATACTTTCGTCAATAACAGGCAGTGTGTAGTAATCCAAGACATCGATTGAATTCACAAAAGTTCTTTATTTTTAGCATATTCATTTATTATTATATTTATTTTCATATTTAATTAGCAGAGAAAATCGGATGTTAACATTTAGACGTGATTTTGATGTCGTGAAGTATTTATTATACTTCAATAAAACTATTGGTTAATGTCATTTCTTTCGAATAAATGTTTCTTCTTTGCAATTTCTTTCACACGGTAATTTGGAGGAAAGGTCAAGACTCACACGATCCCTATTTTCTTGATCCGACCCTGGAATTATCTACCCTTTTTATCTACACGACCAGTGACGTATGCTTGCCACTTTAATAGTAAATATTTGTAGAGTAGTATTGTAGAAAAGAAGGGAATTATACTATATGTTTTTTCTTATATATGGACGTTATTACACAGTAAAACATTTCTGAGAAATGTGAAACTTTCACATAATTCTCGGAGAGAAAAGGTATAACTTGCCTGAATGAACTTGTGGAACTGTTGGAGAAAACAATTTATGGAAAGAAATTATTATTAATTCGTGGAATAACTGAAATCCTTAGATAGAACAATTACTAAATTTTTAAGTGAGTTGGTTGTGAGTTGGAATATTTCACTTACAGAAATATTAATTAAAAAAGATGTGTATCTTAGAGAAATTTCAATTTTCTTTTTTGCGCATTATAAAGACGTATATGCACCAGTTCGAAATGCTATATGAATAGATCAGCAGTATAATTGCACGAAAGATTGAATTATTTCCCAATTATGAGCTCAGTAATGTTTTCTGCAATCACACGGATATCTAGTTATATTATCTCTAACCTTGAGCACTAGTTTTATCGCTGTGCTTAGTAGGTTCTAAAAGTGATAAATGTCAAAACACACGCTGCAGGTAGATGCCGTCCTAGTCTTTACATAAATTATATAAGCGTAAAATTGTAAACTAGTTTACCATCCGCATTTTAGTGCAATCCTAGATGATGTACGTAGATGATGTACGGGATATTACTGGGATGGGATATTAATTAATAATGGGAGGTATAGAGGTAGAAATTTTCTAGTATTTTAATTTTCATGTTCTTAGAAACTGAATGTCAGTTCATTTAGACTTAATGATTACAACCTGAGAAAAATAACGTAAAGATCCTAGTAAAAACAGGGGTTTGTTGTAGAAATCGTATATCACTAAGAGACGAGTAAATTCTCCTGAAAAAGAGACAATTTCTCCAGAAACTGTTAGATTATGAGGCGCATTTTATATGCCAGTGCGTTTAGTTACCAAATGATCTGGGCTGTCCGGGTGTCGCCGCATCGAAAGTTGTGGTGCCGACGTTTCGACCGACATTTCGCGGTACTCTTCAGGACTGTACTGCTCTGAACAGAACCGCGATATGTTGGTCGAAACGTCGACACGTCAGCCTTCGACGCGGCGCGGACGTCACCCTTTATTTAAAAAAAAAATTTAAAAAACACTATATGAAGTGAATCCAAAAATTAAAAAATCTTAGGTGGCTTTGAAAGCTTCTAATTTGTTAGAGTAATTTGCGTTTCAC